CCTACACCACATACAAATACATTCCTTCAGATGAATATAGGAAGTCAGACAAACGGTTACCAGGTGGGAGGGATCAACACCATCTTTCCTTTTATATTTTCTACATTTTCCCTTTCCTTTCCCGCCCACTTTTATGATGGTCATTACCACTAGGGGCTAGTATCCAAGGAAAGTTAGAATTATAACGTGTACTATGACAAACTGTTTATCAAGAACTGAGTGTTTTACTTGTTTTACCTACGTTACCTGTTTTCAAAAAGCAAATGACAGAATATGAATATGAATATGTTTATAAATAGAATGTGTATATATGTCATACCACGTGAGGTATGTTTCCTCATGTGGTATATGTCATACCACATGAGGAAACAACATTATATGTGATATGTACAATGTTATCTGAGATGTATTCTGTGAAACTTAATAAATAAATACATGCTTAAAAAAAAAAAAGTCACACCGATATGCAATGCCATTTAATCAGCAGACGTCGTTGATTACATTTTGGGGTAAAAACATTACATAAACGCTGCGTTGGGAAAAGTTTTGCCGCTCAAAAGGTAAGCAGACAAAATGCTCAAGACAAATAATCCCATTTGCTTGTCTTGAGCGCTACAAAACGCTTAAAGTGACATTAAAGGAGAACTATGAGGTGAGTGCTTTTCACTCACCTCATAGTTCTAGCCGACCTGTGACAATGAGACTGTCACAGGTTGGCTCAGTAGATCGGGAAGTGAGCAAACACATACCGGCGTTCGCTCACCTCTCCATCCTGTCACAGCTCTCTGCTGTGACAGGGGAGGGGCTGGATTCCCCCCTCCCCGCTCCGCCATCGCTGACTGGTGAAACGGACGGGGGAGGGGGCGGGTACAGTGTACTTCTTTTCCTTCCCCCCCCCCCCCATGCTGTTTTAAGGACTTACCTTAAATTATGCCTCTTGATCGGATCATCTTCCCTCCAGTAGTCTTCAGCAATCCCTCCAGCGTTGGTGCCGGTCTCTGATCCAGTGCATACTCCTTGGCTCCCATGGTGTCTGTCCGATGTGCACGGCTGTGTACATTCACCTCCACTGTGTCTCTCCTCTCCACCAAAGATTTCTACTGCGCATGCAGCTGCCCCATCATCCTTGAGAAGCTCCAGATCTTCAGACTTGAGTGAGCGTCAGTGACAAAAAGTTAGTAAATTACCTTTTTGGTAACTTTTTAACAAAGGCTTGTGTAATTATACCTTAAGACAAGGAATCCCATTCATTTATTTGGCCCCCTATTCCCACCTGAGCATTTTGTTGCACAAGTTTCCCATTGAAGTCTATGGGACCAACATGCTCCAGAGACAGGCGTGCGACTAAACGCTTAGGTCTGAACAGGGGCCATAGAAATAAATGGGATTCCTTGTCTTGAGCATGTTGTCACACTTACCTTTGAATGACACAACGCCTAGGTGTGAATGGAGCCTTACATAAAAAATGAATTTTCTTTCGAATCTTTTACAATTTACTCCCCAAAAAATGTTATGAAAAAAAATATATATATATATATATTTGTATCCAAAATCTGCTACCCAATTAAATCCCTATTTGTCCCGAAAACCGCAATATATAATACATTAGGGTAAACTGCAAACGCTGAATAGTAAAATGTGCAGAAAAATGTTCTGGGACTCAGGAGGATTTAAGAAAGAGAAAAGTGCCTTGGGACTCACAAAACGATTCCATGATTTAATTTTAATCTTCAAATCTTTATCCGTTCTATGCTTCGATTACTGTGCAGACGGAGTCATTCAACCAACAACATATCAATAAAAACTGGAAAAATGGTGATGGTCTAAAACCTTTTATGGGTATGTGCATATACCCATGTTCCCCTAGGAGGTAGGGAGCTGCCTATTTGCTATAGCAATGCTTTGAGACTTTTGTTTAAATGACTTTAAGATCCAGCACCACTCCTGACCCTTGCTGAGCAGAGCTGTCAATCAACCTTCACAATCAGGATCACCGTTTCTTCTCTTAAAGCACCCCAGTCATGAGAGATTTATAGGAGGCTGCCATTGCTGATCTCTGCTTTTGGGAAAGTTCATTCCCTGGCTGTCATGCATATTTTGCATTTCAAGTTTTGCCTGAATTACTGTTCTGGACCAAGCATGGAGATCTGGATTTTTGACACTCGTATACAACATATAATGCTTGTTCTAGGTCTGCTCAATCATATTAAATTATGGCAACCAGCATTTTGCAGAATGAGACGAGCAGCGGCAGCCCCTAAAGTTTTCCTTTAAAGTGGTAAATATTGTGCAGCGTAGATCTCAAGCAGCTAGTGTGTCCATTGGAGAAGTTCTTCCTTTTTCCTCTTGTCCACTTTGTAAATCTGATTTTGGAATTGAGTGATTCCGGTTGTTGGGTATTCCAGTGGGGGTACAAATTGTAACTACAATATATTTGTGAATACTTACAGACAAGAATGTATATTGCAATTTTGAGCTCTGTAAAAAAGCTTTCAACTTCAGTTATACATAGTTACATAGTATTTGAGGTTGAATAAAAACATAAGTCCATCAAGTCCAACCTATTGCGTTTATGCATTTATGTTTGAGCAGGTGTGTGCGTGTGTATTAGTCCATGTGGGATTTTGCTCTTAGGCGTACCTGTACCCCTGTATGTTATGGTCTCCGAGGAACTCATCCAGCAGTTTCTTGAATGATTCCACACTCTTAGCCGAGATCACATCCTGCGGCAGCGAGTTCCAGACCCTAACAGCTCTGGCTGTGAATAACCCCTTGCGCCCTGTGTGTTGAAAGTTTTTTCCACCAATTTTTGGTTGTGCCCTCTGGTCTTTGTTATGGAGCTAACCGTAAACAGTTATGTTTTCACTAAAGCCCAATTCAAGCTTAAACCTTGCCCCTCAGTCCTCCCCTTTCCTGGAAGGTTACTCCCGCTGTGTGTTTTTTAATTTTTTTATTCTTCAATTTTTTTTCCATACTTATTTTGTTTTAAGATGTCTTCTCTGAGGAGGACCTGAGAAAGGTTTCCTTCCTCTTCTCCTGGGTGGTTCTCGATGATGCAGAGAACGTTACTGATGTGATGACGTCTGTGCCGTTCTCTGCATCCTTGTATGGTGTGTGCAGGGTCTCATAGTGACACCTCTACATGCCCGGAACTCACAGGAAGTAGGCTGAATGACGTTGTGTGTCATTCAACCTGGAAGAGGACCAGCAGGACTACTAAATTCTAAAGAAAAATAAAAATAATAAATTAGGCTTTAATTATGAATAGTTAGGGACTACCTCCAATAAGGCTACAAACCACAATAAAAAACTGTCGGGTTCTCACTTCACTCTCCAAGGAAGTCCATCCTATGGGCATCTTCAAAAAGTAAATTTACAATTTTCTACATGGATCTGGTTATTAGGAGCGAGCTAGAACGCGTGGAAATTAAATAAAGAAATACAGATGTATTTTTCATTTTTGACCATAGATACCCTTTAAGCAGTGCTGGCTGGAGACACCACAGTACCTGAAGCTGCTCTCAGTTTTCTGCTGTGACCAAGCTCAGATTTGTAAACCTCCACTGCTTAAGTTGCACATACTGTATATCCAGGTTCATTATGCATGTAGAATGTTTTTCTGACAATGTTGTCCATATTTTAACCAGATTGTGGGAGGATCTTGAATGGAGGCACAGTCAAAAATGCTTTTTTTTTGGGTATGCATAAAACTTTTTGATTGGACCACAGTTGCTTTCTCTCATCATTCTTTCTTCCTTGTTTTTGGTATGAAAGCTAGTTAGTGTTATGTCACATAGCTACGATATTTAGACCCCATGCAGTATGTATACACGGCTTGGCCCAAAAAATAAAAAAGTCACACACTCTAATATTTCATTGGACCATCTTTAGCTTTGATTACGAATATATAAGAACAAAGAAGAAACATGGGTCTTTTAAAGTGTTTATGATATATGAGTACAATGTATACACATATGTGGGTACCATAAGGAGGTAGTTTGGTTTTAATATGCTATTGTATCATGTTGAGGACATTCTGAATGTAACCAAGTCTCAAAATCATGTTGATTTTAATGCAATAAAATGTATTTTTTTAATACAAGATTACGTGTGTCTGATGAACATTTTGCATGGTTTAGACACCTTCAAAAGCCCCATGTTGCTTCTTTGTTCTTATATATTTCTAATTCGGGGTGTGGTGCCTATCCCCACTGGTTACATTTTTAAGAATATAACAAAAGCTTTGATTATGGCACGCATTGGGTGTGGCATCGTTTCGATAAGCTTATGCAATGTCACATTTATTTCCATCCAGAGTTGCATTCATTTTACACCAAGATCTTGTAGTGATGATGGCAGAGTGTGACCACTGTGTAGTCTTCTCCAGCACATCCCAAAGATTCTCAATGAGGTTAAGGTCTGGACTCTGTGGTGGCCAATCCATGTGTGACAATTATGTCTCATGCTCCCTGAACCACTCATTCACAATGTGAGCCCGATGAGTCCTGGCATTGTCATCTTGGAAAATGCCCAATGTGCCATCAGGGAAGAAAAAAATCCATTGATGGGAAAACCTGGCCATTCAGTATATTCAGGGGGGCAGCCGAGCTATTTTTTGGGGACATAACATTGCTGAACCTAGACCTGACCAACTGACACATCCCCAGATCATAACACATATCCAGTGGCCTAGTTCCTTATCTAAATCTAGGTGCTGACTTCGTTTTGGCCAGACAGTGTATTTTTTATCTTTTGGTCACAGCAGATCTGTAAACCATTTGACTGCCCTGCAGTTTTCTGAGGTCAAGTCACACCACGCTATAAAAAAATCCAAGTTACACATTGGATAATATCGGAGCTGATGAGGGTATACTAAGCAGGAGAGCCCTGTATCACCCTTCCGATATCAACAAAGACCTCTGTAAAGGAGGACAACAATGGTGGTGTCCTTCCCCTCTTCATTCACAGGTGCACTGAATAAACAGAGAACAGGCACTTACCTTGGAGGACGAGGGATTCTGCAGAGAGCTCTCCAGCTCCAGAGTTCACACATTCCTCATTGGGATGCTTCTTGTTATAATGCCTCTTCAGGGAGCCAGGGATATTGCAGGAATAGTGGCATAAGGCACAACCAAATGGCTGCAAGAAACAAATACAGAGATTTATACATGTAGGCAATCTGTAGTAGATGTACTTACACTAGAACACTCTGCTTAAGCAATTCAATTAAAAAAATATTAGATTATAATCTGCTTATATTTTGCCTTCCCTGGTTCCTCCCCCCTCATTAACATGCAAACTACAATTTTTTACTTAAACCTTTCTATTTTCATTACATACCTTATATTGGACCCAGTGATATAATCACTGGTTCCCTATACTTATCTATACAGTGCAGGTCATGGCTGGTAGGAGGTGCCTGCTGGGTGCTGTACATAGCTTCACAGCACCCTACGTCAGTACTCAAGAGCCCTCAGCTCTGATGCAAGCAGTGGGCTGGCTGTTGGAAGGAGTTACGCAAATATCAAAATGCCTTGATGGGTGGATGTCACTCTGGAGGAGTTGGTGCCCCTAGGCAGGCTGAGTTTGCATGTAGACCTCTTTAGGTAATGTCTGTGAAGGTTCTTATTCATCCAGGTCATGGCATATTTGTAAAAAATAAGTCAAGGCAACCAACTGGACTCGCTGTATTTTTCTTGAAGACGTTTCACTGGACAACGTTTTCAAGAAAAATACAGCAAGTCCAGTTGCCTTGACTTATTTTTTACTCTTTAGGTAATGCCCACATAGGATGCTGAGCCTCCATGATTGAAAGAACTGAAATCCAATAAATAAAAGGGATGGGCCAGGGAGGGTCAGGTCTGATGCTAGAGGTCCTACAGCCAGGAAATGAGGCGGGCTCTATCTGACTTGCTGCAGCTTCTAATGCACATTATGAGAAGCTCACAGTGTGCTGGGAAATCAGAGGAAGCCATTTCAGTCCAGGAGAGGAGCCGGTACAACTGTGCAAGACTGAAGGGAAGGCCGGATTTCAGCTTGAACAGTTCCGGGAGTGTCAAAATGTCAAACTTCCTGCCTGCACCCTGAGCTCAGTGCTGATAACATGTTGTGTGGATGTCACCAGCACTCCAAGTATGACAGAATACGTCAAGATTTTTAGTGAATCTTCATTTTATTTTTGAAGTCACTTAAAGTGGAAACAAGCGCTTTCGTCCTCCACCTCGCTCAAGAGCAAGTCTCAGCAGAAAAAAAAAAGCAAATGGCAACCTGCTTTCCTACATACCCGAAAGACGCGGCGTATTTAAGCCCCCCGTGGAGAATAAAACACAGGTTTCTGCGGCATCTCCCCTGGCAGGCATATACCTGGCATTTTAGCGCGGCATGCGGCAGACGGGCCCCTTGGAGGTAATTTATTCAGAGTGCTGGCTCTTTATCCCGTACAGCTGCCGGGCTGCTATTATCTCAGGATTATGTAAACTCTTGCTGTTCTCTGCTGATATCTGTCACCCCATTTCAGACACGTGTGTGACAGGTATTCAGTGTGCAGGTGCATTATACACTCCACTTGGAAGCTATTCAATTCTACAAATACGGTTGTTGCTACAGCAACCGAAGAAACTGCTTCATTAGCGGCGAACGAGAGGCACATTTATTTAAATATATAAGTGCATCGTTCTCAGCGCTACCGACCCAGCTGGGAATTAGCCGGCTGCTTTTGACAAATAAATGCTGCCCTTTACACACAGAAACTTGGTCTTACGCTATGGAGAACCAACGATGGACCGCTAGATTGCAGCGAGTTCCAGGCCCAGCATATGCTTCTAGCAGCTGCCTGCTTCTTAAAGAGACCCTGCCACCTTGACCATGCAGAGGCAAGGGAACGTGCCCGTGCAAAGGGCATCCCAACTCAATAAATTCAACTTACCCGTGCTCCCTTGTAGCTCCATTGTGCCCTGCAGCCGGAGTGAACATTGACTGTGATGGTGACCCAGGGATTGGTGATATCACTCCCCTGGTCATGTTATAGTGCTCGGGTCAAGCAATTGGCTGCTGGAACAGGGCACCATCACAGGGAAGCAGGTCAAATGTTCGTCCATAATGGGAAGTGCTGGGTATTCTCTCATGCTGTGAAGGAGACAGGAGCTGCAAGGAAGCGCAGGTAAGGTAAGTATATGGGGGTCAGGCTTTAAATATAGACTGTCACCTTGGCCTGCATGGGCAAGGTGGCAGTGTCTCTTTAAACCGGAGGGATGTAGGACGGGCTGCCAATCCTGATTGGCTGTCACAGGATCACATGATTGGGAGCCCACCCTACCCTACCGCATCCCAACTGTAAACATTGACCAAGAGCTGCCAGTGAGAGATTGGTCACAGTGCCGGAGGCACCAAGTGAGTGATTCCATTCACAGCACAAAACCGCGCCGCTGGCTTTACGCGTATAGTGTATGTTAAAGCCAACCAACTAGCTGCCAAATATATGTGTACGACCAATAGGAAGTGGTTAAACAAGGTCACCGGTCCATTAAGGGAAAACTGACATTAGCTGCATCTGTATTTTCTTCTTAGTATTCGATACAGTAGGGAAGGGTGAAAGATTTATTTTTTTTGCCATCTGTGTCGCATTGGGGAGATTTCCTTTAACTTCCTGTCTTGTAAACGCACCAGAAATCTCTCAAGTTGCCACCACAACACGTGACCCCATTGGATGGCTTCCCTTTTATTCCTGTTTCGATGGACTTGTAATTTTTGGATTTTCCCTCACTTCCTCAATCCCCGTGTAAATGGTCACCAAGGCAAGCAGAGAGGGAGAATCTCTCCAGCGGGGATATAGACAGCAAAAAAAAAGACAGGTTCTAATCCTTAAGTCAAAATCCTTGCCAAAATCTAAGCGACTAGACTCAACTCAGGGGTTGGCCAGCAGGTCCGCAAGGATCAAGTTGGCTTCATGCCTTTTGGGAGGCCACTGATAATATTCCTAGGATAACACTTTTGATTCACTTGGCTTGAACTTGCAAATGGGGGCTTTGGTACCGAATTCTGTAAGTGCACTCTACTCTCATCCTTCCGTCCATGTAGAATATGCAGGCTTCAGTTCTCCCCCTTCCCTATAAACAGGGGAACCAAACAGGGTTGTGCCCTGTCCCCACGGCTATTCGCTTTAGCCATCGAGCCTCTAGCCCTCTTGATTGGTGACCATAATTATATTACTGGTATTTCGGTAACTGGCCATAGCCACCAGTTGAGTCTATTTGCTGACAATATTCTTTTGTTTCCTACTAACCCTTTTATCTCCCTCCCCAACCTTTTTGCTATCCTTACCGCCTTTGGTGATCTTTCTGGTCTTTGCGTAAATTTGGGAAAATCTAAAGCCTTTAACATTTCCCCACCCTCCACCATTCGCAAAATAACTTTCCTTTTCCCTGGGCCTCATCGTCTCTTTCTCATCTGGGTGTTCAACTTACTAGTTCATATGACTCTCTCTCTATACAGTAAACTATCCGGCGTTATTTCAGAAATTGCGCACCCTCCTGGGAGCTTGGAGCCATTATCCACTATCATGGCTGGGTTGCGCTGGGGCAATTAAGATGTCCTACCTGCCCAAACTCCTATACTTTTTTAGAGTCCTTCCTGTCACAGACCTATTACATGCCTTACGCATTCTTCAGCGCCAAGTTATGCATTTCATTTGGTCCGAGCATAGACTACGTGTTCCCAAACACACAAGGTGGAATTTATCAAAAGTGGACCAAACATCTGTGCTTATCTCTTCAGTTAAGATTTGAAAATGAAAGTGAGAAGCTGATTGGTTGCTATGCACAGCTGCTCCAGTTTTGATAAATTGCCTACACAGTGTTTCAACCCAAATTCTCTGGGGGTCTGGGAGTTCCAAATCTGACTAAATATTATCAAGCATCCCAAATGGCTTCTCTTACCAAGTACAAAACCTCCTTTGAAACTCCCCTCTGGGTTTTCCCAGAAAGCGCTTAATTGTGAGCCATTAGGTGTGCATAACGTTCTTTGGTTACCCTCCAAACTCCAAACTAATCTTGCTAATCCGGTAACCTCCAACTCTCTTAAAATATGGGATTCAGTGAAATCTTGGAGTGGCCTTCTTTCTTCACGTTTACCACTTCTTTCCTTCCTTTCCGGGATTGGATTTCGTTTCAGTCCTGGTCCTCTAAAAATAGAACTAATTTTCAAGCTCTTTTGGACACCACTGGTATTGTCCCATTCCAGGCCTTTTGCAACCGACAGGTTATCAAACTTGTAATTGTTCCGACATTTACAAATCAGACACTTTATCATGTCTATGCGCCAAGTCCCCACAAGCTAGGAGATCTCTTTGCTATACACTTCACTCTTGCTAAATCCTCCACTTTCTAGTCATACCTACATGTCAAAATGGGCCGAAGACTTGGGAATGACTCTGGAACCTGATCAATGGTCTCAAATATGGGATACCGTCTATCATATGTTCAGTTCCAATTGACACATTACTGTATCGTGGTTATTGTACATTTACAAAATCTTAAAAAGGAGAATTATGGGGTTAGGGCTTTTCCCCATAGTTCTCCGACGGGTAACGGGAGGACACAAACTACCTTCCTCCCATTACCCAAAGCTCAGTAAACCGCCAGCTGCAGCTCGCGGTATACTGAGACGCCGCAGCTGAAACGGATCCCGACAATTATGTCTGGATCCGCCCAGCTGCGTGAGTGACAGCTGGCTCTGCCTATCTAGAGCAGAGACAGCTGTACCCGCCCCCTCCCCGTCCGCTCCCCCAGTCAGCGCTGGAGGATCATAGCGGGGAGGGGGGAATCCAGCCCCTCCCGTCACGGCTCTCTGCAGTGACAGGATCGAGAAGTGAGCGAGCGCCGGTATGTGTTCGCTTCCCGATCTACTGAGCCGAACTGTGACAGTTTAATTGTCACAGGTCGCCTCAGATTATGAGGCTGAGTGAAACGCACTCACCTCATAGTTCTCCTTTAATAAAGATATACATTCTTTAAAAAAAATGCACTCGGGTACCTTAACAATTAACAAAAATGTATCTTATTTGTGTATCACTCGGCTGTAGATCATCAAATCATCTCTGAATTGGTGCCTCCGGAGGGTGGCTACTTTTGTTCCCAATTGGT